AAAACAACACCCCCCCCCCCCCCCCCCCCCCCTTTTTTTTTCAAATTAGCAGATTTCTCATCTATACCCAATACTAATCACCTTTGTTTCACAATAATTTCTCCAAACTGTGACACAATTAATATGAATATCCTTCCAACAAGCAACCACAGAATCACAACAAATTCAATCAGACAAATAAAACATATTGAATGTGAAGACGGGAAATTCACCAGAGGCAGAAGTAATGTAACAATTTTGGAGAAAACTGAGACAATCCACATTACTAAAGTCGTCAAGAAGAATGCTTCAGCCCTGTTCTCAACTCAATATTAAACCAGAGTAGTTCTGTAATACAGTTTCTATGGTTTATTATAGGTGATGATGCATCTAGCATGTGATGTCTACAGATTGTTAATGGAAGAGTATGGGTTCATAAATATATCTCTATTTCTGAATTGGTGGGATTGTGCTAATTTATAAATAATTCAGATTATGCCGATACACAGTTTGCTGGAGAATCAGAGTGGCGGCTTGAAGGAGCTGCTAATAGAATGGAGTTTGGGGGTCTTGAGCTCTTACTGATACGTTTCTGTGGGCAGACGAGGGGAATGATAGAGTTCCTGTGGAGAGAGAGAGAGAGAGAGAGAGTAATGTTAGTGGATAAATGAACGGAGGAAGTCGAATTTTTGGGAATTGTGAGTACTGGAAACTAAAATCTACCTCCCCAATCAAAATATTTTCCTTAATTTTGAGAAAAAAATATCAATCAAACAATCAAAAGTAGGAATTTCGATGGAAAAATGATATTTTTCATGAAAAGTATTGCCAATCAAACATAGCCCAATTGTCAATTATGCAATATAGATCAAACGCATAAAAGTAAAGAACATCAAATTTGGTAATGAAGGCAAAACCCTTTGAAGAACTCTTAACATGGATAAAAAACCTTCTATCTAATTTTGTCAAAAATGATCCATTAGAAAAGATAACTTACAGTTGGTCCAGAACTATGACCACCCAACGTGTAAATTATTGAAGAACCTATTCAATTGTGCAACCTGCACTTTTCAACAACTCTGAAGTTCTTTTCCCTTTACATGGATCACCAGGAAAAAACTCATTAGGGAACAACTGGAACTCCTACTATCTCTTTCCAAATTTAGAACTCTGAAGGCTTATTGGTAAATGTAATGATTTTTGGTGTTTCATCTTCTGTGTTTTGATCTCGTAGTTGAGGCAAGAGATTTATGGAATATGTATTTGATCTTTGTAGGTTATTCTCTTGACTAAAATAAAGACTCAACTAGTTGCAAAAGATGTTTAAGAATTTTGATATCTTGTGGTTGAATCACAAGATCTTTGGATTATTTTATGGATCTTCAATAAAGTGTGCTCTTGTATGAATAATTGTTCAACCACACACAAATGAAATCTGGCTTGGGTATATATAATATGGAGTGTTTGAGGTTGAATAAAACTCCAAAATCTGTTAAAAATCACAAATAGGATTTCACTAGATACCACCATAGCTTGAGCGCTGGACTCGCGTTTAGCGAGTGTTTAGCGAGCGATGTGAGGTTGCTAGCAAGCAGTTAGTGTATTGCTTTTTTTCACTAAAGAGCCTCGTGCACTGTTAGCTAGCGGTTTTGCAGTGACCTTTTCTCCTTGTTTTGTCTTTGACTTCTTCAAGACTTATACTACTAACCCTCAACTCTTTAACTTTAATTACAACTCAATAAACTATGATTTTGAACATAAGAATAGCCAATTACAGTTTGGACCTAACAAACTCCCTCAAACTTGTTTACTAATCATAAAATACAAAAAATTACTCCCTTGACTTATATACTACTGACCTTTGAAATAAATACCTCTATCATTTTTGTCATGAATAACAAAGGGGTAAACAACAATCAGTTGCCTCTTCTTGAGTAAGATCCCTATGTATACGCACATGTAATGAGATTGGGAAAAAAAAAATCTTTTAAATTGAACACTTTTTCATGGATTTTTTGAAAATCACACTTTTTCGTCAATTTTTAGAATTAACACCATTTCATGGAAAGATTTATCACATCATGACATGAACAGTTATTTGATTAGTTATACATGTATAGTTCATGAATGCTAAAATTCTTCCTACATAACTCATTCATAACTTATACCAAGTAAATTATATAAGCAGTCCATGTGTGTAAAGTGTCACTAATCTTTTGCAAGCATTACTCAAAACCTTATATCAGCAAGAAAAGACATGCAGAGAAATCACTGGTGAATGGATATATATTCTTCAAATAATGACAAACCGGTACTACTAAGGACTTTTTAATGAAAAAGCTCATGTTAATAACTTTTTCTTTCTGCCCCCCCATCTGTGAGCGTATATAATTTTTTTTCTATATGTGCAAACTTTTCTTCATAAAGCTTACTAAATAATCTTGGAATAAGCTTTAGGCCGATGTCTTCCAAGTCTAGAAAACTATAGTACACCATATTTTAAGATACCCAACAGGCTTAATCACTCAAGTCATATAGGCTTCAAAGAAAAGTATAAGACGCATCACTCACTTTATTTTTGTTGACGTAATTTAAATGTTTTGAAGTTCACTATTATTTTCTTTATGGGAAATATACTAGAGCTTAGTTAAGTTAGTTAAAAGTTAATTCATATTCAAGGTCACCTGACCACACTGATTACTGCCATCACAAATCTCACAAATGCAGTCAAGATGCACTCACAAGAGTTTAATGTATCCAGCACAGATGATACATGAAAGTAATCTATACCAAGTAATCCAAATAAGTTCTAAATTAAATTACTGGAAACTTTATTCACCTTTCATTAGTTTTACTAGTACTTGATCACAAGATAACATGTCTAATAATATCACGTCAAAGTGAAAAAAAATCCATTTTTTTCTTTCCTTTTATTTATTTTTACAAAATAATACAAACAAAATGGGAAATTAGGGAGCATGCATGTATATGTAAACCCAATGAACTTTCTAGTGCTTGCACTTAAGGACCTACTCAAGGACTAGGTACACCAACGCTCTTACCGTTAAGAGCAACACAATCAATATCACAATTCACAACATCACTTTGACTTGTGAGTTCACTCTTTTTAACTTAGACCTTTCTAGAAGATGATGTAATCTTAGTCAAGTAACTCATCATCTCGGTCAAGTGAATGACTTGATTAGCTAAGGACCTAACATGGGAGGTGATGTCCTGTTTGTTGTTCCTAACCGAGAGCTTACAATATATAGGTCTTATGTGACCTAGCTCACCAAACATTGGGTTGAGAAAACTTATGTTTCATAGATGATTTATCTTCGAGAACTCTTACACTCTTAGAACCAATAGAGGTAGGTATAGACACTTTTTTAGAAGAGGTAGCGATATGAGAATTTGTTTCATTATGGCTTAAGCCTCTCCCATTCCCAGTTGTCAAACTTTTTAGATCCACTAGAAAAATGTTAAAGTTGGGTACTAGATTTCTCAAGATCACTCGTAAGAGTCTTAACCTTATTTTTTTAAGTACCCTTTCTCAACCCTTTAACTCCTTCAATTTTCTGGTTGATTCCTAAGTTTGACTTCTAAGCTCTCATTTTCTATATCCAATTTATGAAATTTCTGAAAGACAGAGCTATTAACATTTTTTCAACTTAAGGCTCTTTACATACACTGGGCAACGCATTTTGAATATCCCAACCATCTTTTGATTCTTCCTCGAAAGAGGGAGATTGCTCTATGGCCTTAGGTGTCTCTTCTTAACCATAGAAGTGAACGCCATAACATTCCTTCCCTCATCAGGATTGGAGTTCTCACTTTGATTATTGGAGCTAGACTCGTCATCAATAGGAGTAGTGTTCATAGTCTTACCTAAGGTTTTCTTATAGCTTGGGCACTCGGATGTTAAAATGTCCAAAAACCTGGCACTTATGACACCTTATAGGTTGAGACCTCTTCCAAGCATCTCTATTATTTCTCCTCTCTCTTTTATCATTCATATTTTTACTGGAATCACTTTTAAACTTATCAGGAAGTCTCCTATTATTGCTAAAGAATTTCTTAAATTTCCTAGCAAGGTAGGCAAATCCCTCATCCTTTAGGGTGTCAACATTAGTTTGATCACTAATCTCCTTGTTAATAGTGTTTAGGGCTAAAAGCTTGTTCTTCTTAGACTAGGTTAAGCTAAGTTCATATGTTTGAAAAAATCTTATGAGTTCTTCTATATTAATAGCATCTAGGTCTTTGCTTTCCTCAATACATGTAATCTTAGGCCTAAATTTTTTAGGAAGGGAACTCATAACTTTCCTCACAATCTTAGCCTCAGGGATTTGCTCACGTGGGTTGAAACTAGAATTCACAATATCATTCAGTTTAGCATAGAACTCATCGAAAAATTGATCATCCTTCATCTTAATTTCTTCAAAAATAGTGATCAACATTTGAAGGTCAGAGTTTTTACAGCCTTAATTCCTTTATATGTAGTTTCTAATGTCTCAAGCTTCCTTAACACTCATACATGGATACCATCTAAATTCTTCATGGGAGATTGCCATAAAGATGGCACGTATACCTTTACCATTTCAATTACAGTCGGCCATTTCATACTTAGTGATCAAGTGAAAATATGAGTTTGTGTAACAATGCCAGCAACTGTGGTATATGGGATGGTCCAACTCTTTTCTACACTAACCCAAGCAAGTTCATCCACTGTCTTTGAAAAGGCTCTCATTCTAAACTTTCAATGGACATAATTATTACTATCAAAATAAGGAAGAGCGAAAAGTGATTGACTTAGCTAAACAACATTAAGTCAACAAATTGAATTTAGGCTATGATACCACTTGTTAAATAATAATCAAGCGAGACTCAATTGACACCTAGAGGTGTATAATGCGAAATTAAAACAACCAACCAATAAAAAGCAACACGTCACTTATTTACTATTTCTAGATGATTAAGTTTAATGTTAAATTAAACCCTAAGTATCAATCATGCAATATAGATCAAAAGCATAGAAGCAAAGAATACCAAATTTGGTAACAAAGGAAAACTCATTGAAAAACACTTCATAGGGATAAAAAACCTCTAAGGGCAATTTTGTAAAAAACGATCTACTAGAAAGATAACTTATAGTTAGTCAAGATAACTAAATATTAGTAGACTCTCACCACCCAACCTATAAATCCCCAATGAACCTCTTTGATTTTGCAACTTACACTTTCTAGAAAATTCTGGAACTCCAGTTACCTTTTCCCAACAGGCTTATTAGTGAAGGTAATGGGTTTTAGTATTTGATCTTTTGTGTCTTGATCTTGTATTTGAGGCAAGATATTTATGAAATATGTATTTGATTTTCATAGGATTTTCTCTTGACTAAAATAAAGGCTCAACTAATTGCAAAAGATATTTAAGAATTTTGATGTTCCGATCTGGTGGTTGAATGAAGAGATCTCTGGACAATGTTATTGATCCTCAATAAAGTGTTCTCTTGAATGAATAGTTGTTCAACCATACAAAGAAATAAAACCTGACTTAGGTATATATAATATGGAGTGTTTGATTTTAATTAGAACTTCAAAGTCAGTAGAAAATGATTTTACCAAATACCAACACTTCTCGAGCGGTAGCACGATCGCTTGAGCTGTCGTGAGGTGGCTAGCGAGAGGTTAGTGTATTGCTTTTCTGCTTGGGCACCACCTGCTTGGTCAATGAGCAATTTTGCAACGACTTTCTCCTTGTTCCGCCTTTGAGGTATTTGACTCTTTCATGACCTATACTACCAACCTCCGACTCTTTGACTGTATTTAGATTTCAATAAACTATAATTTTGAACATGGGAAGAACCAATGACAATTTGAACCTAACAAACAAGAACACAAAGTACACACACACACACTAAGTAAAATTGCTTTCAACCTCAGTTAATTAGCTAATTGTCTGAATGGATGACATTTTGGAAAAGCAAGTCAAATCTAGTTCACAAAAAGGTCAAAAAAGTGGTTTCTTTTCACATGACCCTGCAAAGAAAACCACATGTTCATCTTCAAGCTTGTTGTCTAGGCGACTGAGAACTATTTTTGAGAGTGACAAATCAAGAATATTAAGAGGATTTACTTTAGATTTGCTTGTGTGGGTTGTTAAGATTTTGGGTTCCATCTTAAAAGGTCAACCTTTTTAAGAAGAGTTGTCCAAGACCTTATAAGTTGGTAGGATTCCATCTTAAAAGATCAATCTTGTTAATAGGAGTAATTCAAAATCTTGTAAGTTGGTTTATATTTTCATTTTTATTCGATGTGGGATTATATTTATTAACATGCTCTGGCAAGATGGTGGCTCGTTTGAGCAGACCAATCTTGAAATTGATATACTCATTTATTGAGTTTTAATTGGATCGAATCACTCGCTGGATCTTAATAGGCTCTGATATCATTTTAAGATTTTAGATTCCATCTTAAAAGGTCAATCTTGTTAATAGGAGTAGTCCAAAACCTTATAAATTGGTCTATATTTTTCATCTTTATTTTGATGTGGGATTATATCCCCTAACATGGGTGCTATTGTGGTTCATTTCATATAGACACTTGTTCTTTATGCTTGCATACTGAATAATAAAAATCTTGAGGTTTTCTTGGATTTTTGGTCTTGTTTTCATGGTCTGCAAGAGTATTTGAGTTTTCAGAAGTACTGTAATGGGATTTGCTTGAGCAATAAAATCAAGGCTGAGAGCCCTTTCCACACTGGTACAGTTACTTTCTGAATTTGTCAATCTATTTAGCAATAGACTAGAAGCCTTACTCTTTACTATTATTTCAATTTTTCGATCATGGAAAGCCCACCTTTGTTTAATCTCTTAACTTTGTTTTCAGAAGTAGAATTTATGACACATGAACCCGTTTGTGTTTCTTAGTTTATTGTATGACTTCCTGTTCATTGATATCCTAGTTAATTAGGTGTTGTATACCCTTCACCTTATGTTTCTGCTCTCTGCTATAATTGCTAATCTTTTTGTACTGATGGAATATATGTGTTGCAAGTTAAAGAATTAATAGTATTTGGTCTTTAATATACTATTGAATCTGCCAATAATGAAGTAAGATAGGTATGAGAGACTGGAGATCCTGCTTGGTTGATTTTCTCATCAATGATTTTTATTTAGGAGAAACATTCTAGATATTTTCCATTGTATATGTTATTGTAAAAGAAATATCTACTCTTTATGTGCTGGAATTTCGGTTATTCTTAAGAAATCGAGTTAATTGTTCCAATGGTCACTGAACTTATGTTCATGTCTTCAATTGATCATTGAAGTTTAAATTGTCGAGATTTGGTCACTGAACTCAAGTTCATATCTTCGATTGCTCAATAAAATTTAAAATGTTGAGTTTTGACCATTGAAGTTTGAAAAACATGGTTTGTTATTTATTATCAATCAAATATATGGACTTAAGTTCAGTGAGTAATATGCAACATTTTTCAAAGTTCAGTGATCAGAACTTAACATTTTGAACTTTAGTGAGCAATTGAAGACATAAACCTAAGTGCAGTGAAGAAAACTAGTTATTTTAAACTCCAGTAAGCAATCAAAGACATGAATTTAAGTTCAGTTACCATTGAAACAATTAACTCTAAGAAATATAATGTTTTCAGTTCTACAGTCTATCAATTACTTTGGCAATGAAAAGTGCTGATTTTGAATTTGTATTATTATTTTATTACAATCAAAATCTTTGATCTAACTGGAAAATAAATGTAGGTGTTGTTTCTTCTAAATATGTCGGTGGAAATGGAACTGAGCTAAGTAATCCAAGCAGCAAGGCCTCATCCACTTTTATATCCCCATTTCCTCGGAGTGAGGGTGAGATATTGCAGTCCTTCAACTTGAGAAGCTCTACATTTTGCAATCATATAATAAGTGTATTTATTCCATTGCTACCTCCCCAAGTCCCTTATTCAATGTTTATTTTAATTTCCTAGTTACACATGATTTAATTTAATATTGTGAAAAGTTTTCAAGAAAATAAACTAGTTTGAACAACTTTTTAAGACCCTTTTTGACAATCATTATTTGAGGAAAATAGAGTTTTGAATAGTGATATTAGAAGAATGTATGGGTAAAAAGTTGGAAAATGTTTTAGATTCATGTGCAGAATATTTTATTGTGTGAATGTGTGGTTGAAAATGAGTACGTAAAAAAGTGAGTTTGAAAAAATGGTTGTCAAATAGGGGCTAAATTTTGAATTTGAATAATTCTATATCTGAATCCTATAAAACTATATAAAGCTCGACTTCTATAAGAGAATGTAGCATCTAAAAAAGACATTCACAAGAATACGAAACCAACAACTAAGCAAAATTGCTTTCAACTTCAATTACTTAGCTGAGTTAATCTTGATCAACAATGTAAATACCCCACTCAAAAATTGTCTGTATAGAGAAGCCAATTTGGAAAAGCAAGTCAATCTCCTGTAGTTTCGCAAAAAGGTCCAAAAAAATTGATTCTTTTCAATGTCCCTGCAAAGAAGAAAAAGAAGAGTTGCTAAACAATCCATTTCTCACTTTTTTTTAACCCAACTTATAATTTTTCATAAATTTCTTTTCTCAACTGAAAAGCCTGTACGAAAACCACCTGTTCATCTTCAAGCTTGCCCCTTTTGTGAGGGTGTTATTGTGGTTAATTTCATATGCATACTTAAAGTTACAAACTTGTTTGTTCTTTATGATCGCATCTGAAAAGGAAAAGAAGAAAAATCTTCAAGTTTTCTTTGGATTTTTGGGCTTTTTTTCTTGGTCTGCAAGAGTATATGAGTGTTGGGAGGGTTCTTTAGTAATGTAATAGGTATTTGCTTGAGCAACCAAATCAAGGCTAGGAGCCCTTTTCATACTGGAATGGTTAATTTATGAATTTATCAATTCATTCAGCAATAGATTAGATTGTCCTGCTCTTGATTATTGTTTCAGTTTTTTTTTTTTTTTTTTTTTTTTTTATTTCAGGTCTCGAAGAGCCCGTCGAGCCTGATACTCGACATTTTCCGGGAAAAACTGCGATCTGATCGCTTCCTTGAGGAGATCCCAAGAAGTAGGATTTGTGACATATTTTTCTTAGTTGTTTGAATGATTTCTTGTTCATTTATATCCTGTTAATTAGGTCATGTATCCGCTCCACCAAATGTTTCTGCTATAATTGCTAATTTTGAGTGTAAATGTAATATATGGGCTGCAATTGAAATTACAATTCAAATCCTCTGCATTTGCTTTGTTAAGGGTAATTATTGGTCTTTATTTTCCTACTGAACATGCCAAGAAAGAAGAATGAGTTGTATATTTGACTAGAGACCTTTATATTTTCCGTTGTATATGTTACTGGAAAGGAAATATCAACTGTTTTACAAGAGTTGTGCTTGAACTTTACTTACTAAGAAATCTAACATGTGTTCAGTTTAATAGTCTATCAATTACGTTGACAATGAAAAGTGCTGATTCTGAATTTGTGATATTATTACAATCAAAATATTTGATCTAACAGGAAAATATATGTAGGTGTTATTTCGTCTAAAAATGTCAGTGGAAATGGGACGGAGCTAAGTAATCCAAGCAGCAGGGCCTCATCTGCTTCTATACCCTCGATTACTTGGAGTGAGGGTGAGATATTGGAGTCTTCCAACTTGAAAAGCTTCATATTCAACGATATAAGTGCATCCATTTCTTTCCCTACCTCCTCAAATCATTTATTCAATGCTTATTTCCTTTTCTAATTACAAATAATCTTAAATTTTATAATATGATAAGTTTTCGAAAAAATAAACAAGATTGTTGCAACAACTTATTAAGCGTATGTTTGATCTCCATTTTTTCAAGAACTCATTTTCAATAACTCATTCTTCCATAAAATAATTTTACATATAAATCAAATTTTTTTCCTTATGTTTTAACTACATATTCTCCAAAATATCACTATTCTAAAATATATTTTCCTCCAAAAAATAGGGCTCAAATGGGGCCTAAATTTTGAGTTAGAATAATTCTATATCTAAATTTGATGAAACTATAGAAAACATGACTATCTAAAAATGTAGACTGAATTGTCTAAATGATCACTGAACTTTGTAAAAAGCTTCTAAGGGATCACTAAACTTTAAAAATCACCTAAATCGTCATTGAACTTTGCAAAATGTTTCTGCGGTGTCATTAAACTTTAAAAATTACCTAAATGGTTACTAAACTTTGCAAAAGATTTTCACGAAGCATTGAACTTTGCAAAAGGTTTCCATGAGGTCACTGAATTCAGTGACCCCTAGGGAACTTTTTGTAAAATTTAGTGACCATTTAGGCGATTTTTAAATTTCAGTCGTCCCATAGAAACATTTTACAAAGTTTAGTGACCATTTAGGTGATTTTTAAATTTCAATGACCTTTTAGAAACCTTTTCCAAAGTTGAGTAACCAATTAGATAATTCACTCGAAGCATCTGCATTTGAAAAAGACAACATTCGCAAGAACACGAAAGCTAACAACTAAGCAGAATTGATTAGGTCATTTATCCCTTCACCATATGTAAAAACAAAAAATATTTCTCTTTATTTCTTGGTAATTGATTACAACCTAATTATCCATCTTTTCTAGTACATGAATGAGAGTTAAAAAAAAGGAAAAAACAATTACCTAAAATCTTCTAATGAATATCCTAAAATCAATATCAATATCTAATTACAATGTCCGAATATACACTTTTAATTGTGGTAGGTAGAATATCTATTATAGTTTCGAGATTTCAACACTCCCACTCAAGTTGGATGTTACATGTTGATTATAGCCAACTTGTGCATGAAATCATCAAATTTTCGAGGAAGTCCTACGGTGAAGATATCCACAACTTGTTCTTGTGTGGAATATATGTCATGCAAATAGTCCATTTTTCCACATTTGCTTTGATAAAAATTATGTTTACCTCTATATGCTTGGTTTGATAATGCTAAACTGCATTGAGATATGTTGATGGGCTCTTTGTTATCACAATATAATTTGATTGGAAATTTCATCATAACATGTAGCTCTTCTAGAATTTTCTTCATCCACTGTCCCTCATATATTCCACGAGCCACCGCTCTAAACTTAGTTTCAGCACTACTTCTGGCAACTGCATTTTTCTTTTTTCCTTTTTTTTTTTTTGCCTTCTCCATGTCACCAAATTTTCCCTTATAAGAGTGCATATCCAATAATAGACCTTGTGTCTTCTGTAGAAACTGTGCATTCTGCATCTGTGAAGACTTCTACGTCATTCCTTTCACCTTTTCTTGAAGAATAGCCCTTTTTCTTGAGGAGCCCTTTAGATAACTAAGTATCTTGTAGGCAGCTTATACGTGACTTTCCTTTGGAGAGTGCATATGTTAGCTCACCGTACTAACTGTAAATGCAATGTCAAAACTAGTGTATAATAAATAGATTAGTTTACCTACTAATTCTTGGTATCTTTCTTCAAACAGCCAAGCTTTATACCGTTCTACTATCCCATTGGCTTTATATTTTAAGTTGAAGACCTATTTGCACCCTATTAGTTTTTTCCTTTAGGCAAATCCATCACATCCCAAGTTGAAGAAGAATACACCTCTATATGCTTGGTTCGATCATGCTGGACTGAATTTCTTTCCATTTTGGAATATCAAAGGCTTCCTAAATACTATTTGGAATTTCGATAACATCAAGGTAAGAGGTGAAATTGCAAAATTTTGTAGATAGAGCATTATAAGATATGAAATTTGTGATAGGATAAAGAGTACATGATCAAGTTTATTTTTGTAGTGTGATAGATAGATTAATATCTGCTAATTCTATGGTACCATGGAATTCTGGAGCTATCATTGGTTTCAACACTTTTAGAGCTTCAAGTACGAGGTTTTCTTTATGCAATAGGTATTGGATCAAACTCCTGAGGAAGAAGATCTAAGTTTAAGTACCGATCTTTACTTTAATTCTACCCCTGAAAAGAGGATTTTTGGAAATATAGAACGTCTTCGAAGAATGTAACATTGAGATTTACAATTATTTTCTTGATGGACAGGTCATAATACTTGTAACCTTTTTAAGTAGGAGAGTATCTGAGAAGAGCACATTTAATTGCTTGAGGATCTAGCTTATTTCAATGATTGCCATTAACATGGACAAATGTAGTGCAACGAAACACTTTGAGGAAGAGGTTCAAGGTGAGCCAAGAGGTTGGAAAGAATTTTTAAAGTATTTGAAGGTATGATTCAAAGTTTATAGTATGACTAGGTATTCTGATGATTAGATAAGTAAAAGTTAGGATAGCATGTCCCCAAAATCCCTTTGGCATGTTTATAGTAAACATTAAGGCTCTAACTACTTCTAGGTGTATGTTTTTTCGGTAGTCACATTTTGTCGAGGAGTTTCGACGTAAGAACTTCAATAGACTATCCCATGTTTTTTAAGGAAAACTCCTAATTTTCGTTGAAGTATTTTGTGCCATTGCCAGTGTATAGATTTTGAATATATGTTTGAAATGTGTTTATATCATGGAGTAAAAATTGATAAACATGAACCGAACATCAGATTTTTCTTTTAACAAATAAACCCAACAAATTCAAGTATGGTCATCAATGAATGTAGCTAATCATCTTGTGCCGATTAAGAATTCGTGAAAGACCTCATATAGCACTATGGATGATGGTGAATGGTTTTGATGATTGATATATTGACTTTAGGAACTATGTTCTCTAATGTTTTGCAAGATCATGAAATTCACATTGAAAATTGATGAGCCTTTTATTAAGGAAAATGGTAGGAACAATACTTTTCAAATATCTAAATTAGGATGTCCCATTTGAAAATGGCATAACATAATTTCACTATCACTAAGGACAGATGTAGAATCACAAATTGCAATTTGATGCTACTTACTCATATCAACCTCATCAAAGTATTAGATTCCCTCGCACTTTTTAGTATTGCCAATCGTCTTTCTTTATGATAGGTCCTGAAAAACATAGTGTGAAGGAAGGAACTTAGCAATGCAATTTTTATTTTATTTTATTTTTTTTGGTCAACTAGCATATAGATAGTAAATTACAAAATAAATTAGGAACATGAAAGATGAATTCTAAAGTTATAGAGATAGAGATTTGAATACTCCATTTTCCTGCGATTGATGAGAGTGAACCATTGGGAATTTTAACTTCAAGATTTTTCGTACAAGTTGAATATGAGGAAAAAATATGGTGAGAGGCCATCATGTCATTAGATGCTCCTAAATAAATAATCCATGGAATTTTAAATTGAGTGCCAACTTTTAAAACATTTGAAAAATTACCTCTATGGGCTAGCGAACTTGAAGGACCATTTGGTAGAAGATTGACCGGATGTTTGAAGACTAGAAAACATTTTCTAGAGTTAGAAAACATTTTCTAGAGTTGCTTTATTCATTTAGGATTGAATACACTACTTGATGTAGGATTTTGATGGTCGATTGTAGCTTGGTAGCCTCGATTTTTATTATTTTGTCTTGGTTTCCAATTGATCGACTTTCTATATAAATCCCAACACGTATCTTCTTTGTGCCCTGGTTTACAACTGCATTCACACCAATGTTGCCTTTTGTTGTCTTGTACATGGTCCATTAATTGCACCATTTGAATATAAACCCATAATTCCAGGCCCATTGCTAAAATTCCCACTAGGTCTATTTCTTGAAGAGCCTTTGTGGCCCAATTTCAGATATATCACCTTGTTCAGGCCCAATTTTAGGAAGCCCGTTACCATTTAACATTAAGCCTTTGCTTGTCAACATTCTACTTCATTTTTTTTCTTCTATAATACTCATGTTCAACTACACGTTCTTCATTAAAATAATATTACATACAAATCAAAATTTTTTTCCATTTTTTAATCACATATTTCAATATCAATAGCATAAACAGGCCTAAGGCAGACATTTCCTCTTCAATAGCCCAATTTTTCCACTGTTCAACATTACCTTCCTTCAATTTTCTTCATGGCGAACTTAAGCAAACACCTCGCGGGTCGAAGGCAGCAGTCTCCGGCTAAGGATTCTTCCTTCATCTAGGGCACAGTGGGGTCCGGCCAAGAATTCATAAACCATTTTGCTTACTATTTTTTGGTAGCGTGGGCAATCACCTGGATAATCCCATTCTTCTTCTGTACTAGAATAGAGATCTTTTCACAGTGCCATCATCTCCATGTAGTAGTCAGTGACCTCCCTATCACTTTGCTTCAGCCGCCATAGTTTAGTCTTGATTTTTAAGATTGAAGAAGAGTTCTCAGAATAAAAATAAGTTTCTCATATGGCATCCCAAACATCATTTTCCATCGGTAGAAATAGGTAAATTTTTCCAATGGAAGGCTTCATAGAGTTCACAAGCCACGCAGTCACCAGAGAGTTTTTTGACTTCCACCTTTGCAAGCGGGTAATGTTGGTTGCAGTAGGCTTCTTCATCTCACCATTCAAGTGCCCCAATTTTTCATTTCGATCGACCACTAGCTTGATAGATTGGGCCTATTCTCTGAAATTTTTCCTGTTTAATTTTCCACTGTGAATTGGAAGGTTGAGTTGTCGATTCCTCCCGAGCCCATTGTGGGGATGGCTTTTGTTTCACCACCGTGGGATTCAGAGGTCAATTACCCGTTACTATTGTTGCCAGTTTCTGCCGTTAGACTAAGAAACGGCCTGGCTCTAATACCATAAAAAAAAGAAGAGATTTCTATGTATTTGTTGATCATTTATTACAACCTAATTATCTACCTTTTATAGTACATGAATGAGAGTAAACAAGGAAAAAACAAATTACCTTAAATCTTCTAGGGAATCTCCTAAAACCAATGTCTAAATATACACAGTTAATTATTGTAGGTAGAGTGTCTATTATAGTTTCGACATTTCAATAATATGTTTCTCCTCTGTGCTATAATTGCTAACGTTTTAGTGTGATGTAATATTTGAGCGGCAAGTGACTTTCGTATTCACATCCTCTCCATTTGTAATCGGTGTTTAATTTCCGATTAAACCTGCCAAGAAAGAACAATATGATAGGTATTTGAGACTAGAGATTCTGCTTGGTTGAGTTTCTCACCAATGGCTTTTACTTGGGGAACCTTCTATATGTTCTTCATTGTATATGTTATTGTAAAATAATATCTACTGTTTATCTACATGATTTGAGCTTGAAGTATAGTTATTCTTTAAGTAATGTGTGCAGTTCGACGGTCTATGAATTACATTGGCAAAGATAAGTGCTAATTCTGAATTTGTGACATATAATTTTAATACAATCAAAATATTTGATCTGACTGGAAAATATATGTAGGTGTTATTTCTTCTAAATATGTCCGTGAAAAAAGGAGCAGAAATTCAATCTGAAGGCAGCCACAAGAAGCTTTCACCCAGACAATATATTAGGAGAAGTTGGTTTTTATTTCAAGGGATGGTTGATGAACACTCGCAGCGTTGAAGCCTAGGGTAGGGATGGTGATAGGTGTTAAGATGCTAAACCCAAACGGGTCATAGGGTCACAAAGAATGGTTGGTATGTACAATTTTCGTATTAAAATTCCCTACTTTATAAAGAAGCAAGTCAGTTCTGTAATTAGAAATGCATCTATGCACAGTTGAAAACACCAATGTACTTGGAAATTTGTTAAGCATATTTGTTGTTTAATTTTATGTTATCTACTTGAATGGACTAATCTAATTGACATAGTCATTAATGCTTGTAATTTTAATGAAGAAATGATATTATTGTAGTAGAAACATGATGTGTATAAATTTGGTAAATATTCATATTGATGAAAATTTGCATAGGAATTAGCAGAGGATTTTTTTTCCCCCCTTCTTCTTGAGTAGTCAGCTTTCCATTTTTGTTTGATGAACCAGATATACAGAGTAGACTTACATATATGGAGATTTTGTTAAGTATATTTGTCAATTTATTTTTAGTGATAAGAAGTTATGTAAAGTAGCATTTGACTATTAATGCCTTTTGTTGATCTCGTTTTTGGTATTGTTGACATGGACAACTGATACTGGGCTCACTCGCATTCACGCAAGCTAATTCCAACCCTTTGGACGGATAGCTACTCAACAATATTTTAGGTTTGAGAGGGGAAGAATCTTTGCAACACGAGACAAGAATGTTCAACGCAACGATACATACATACATACTATATATATATATATATATATATATATATATATATATATAATGTTATACATGAAATGGTGTCCATTGGATAAGGAGGCACATGGCTTCATCTCCTTAGCCAAAGTATCCTATCTGAGGTATCGAATTGACCTCACTAGCCTGTGGCACATTTAATGTTCTTAAGGGGAGCAGTACCTTACAACCTATGCAAACAAGATTTTGACATGTCACTCATTATAGAGGACACATCAATCATTCAAATAAGATCTATATGTAAAAGATTTATTAGGAAAAGTGAATATGGAAGATGGTTCTCTATAGTTAGGAGGCTTCTACTTTGGTAATGTGGGCTTCAACCACTTAAATGTGCTTCGGCTTCAAGGCTTAGGCCACTTATACAATGCTTCAGCTTTATAGCTTTCGACACTTATAGTGTGCTTTAGCTTCGGTGCTTCAGCAACTTACATAGTACTTCGGCTCAGGGCTTTGCCACTTATACAGTGCTTCGGCTTCTGGGTTTCAACCACTTACATAGTGCTTCGGCTTCAAGGTTTCGACCACTTACACAGTGCTTCGGCTTAGTTTATTGTGACGTGGAGTTTGGGCTTCTTGAGCCTCAATTCTACGGCATGGACTTCTTATTTTGAGATGTAATATTCTAATATGGCATATTTGTTGCGTAACTTGGTTGTTCCTCCCTATTTTGCTCAGACTCTCCAAAAATGGAAAAGTATTCGTGTCGACACAACGTGACACGGATATTGACACGTGATATGGATCGATCTTTAGTTTTGCACTCAAACACTATAGCGAAAGGGAGAAGAAGATGGAAGGTGGAGTCTTGCTTCTGGATTTCTACTTTTGATTCTGCAGAGAGAAGATAAAGAGTTGGAAAAGATGAGGGTTGGGTGGGCTCTTTAAAGTCCAATACATAGAGTTAATCACTTGTAATTATTTTATTGGAATAAATTGTTTGGCCAGATCTATTTAATTTGAGGTTTTTTTTATTGTATTAAATTTCTTATTTCTTAAATTTTCTGTGTGAAATTTTTATTTTGCAATTAAAATAATTTAGCGCTAAATCTTTTTTTGGTATGGAGTTTAAATTTATTTCTATCATTAATTTTAAGTAGTATATAAGAAATTGAAATTGATTTTTTCTAATTATTTTAAAAGAAATTATTTTGGCTGTAAATTTAAATTGATTTCAAATTATAATCCAATTGTTTAAATTAATTTTATCGAAAGAGTTGATGAACAAACTAAACTATGAATTCATTTTTTGACAGCTAATATCAGTTAATTTGTGCACAAGTAACTAAAAATTTAGACTGATTTATTCAAAACGATTGTCCAATACTTATATTTGGTTCCTTAGTATACTATTTTTTTGGTTTTTTATTTCTATTCATGTCAACTTTTTATATAATAATTAAAACATCACAATTTCTGTATTATTAATTATAAAATTAGAAATATTTATATTACAATAAAATACTTGATCTGTCATTTTTACAAATATATATATTTTGTAAGACGTATCATCGTACTCGTGTTCAAAATTCAGATTCTTTTTTATCGTATTCCCATATCTTAATTTTTAAAATGAGAAGGGTCGATTCCTAGATATGTACCCATGTCCAATACTCATACCCGAGTCCGAGCATCATAGGTTCCTCTTTTTATTACACTTTTAACACAACACAATAGTCCCCTAAGTTCAAGTATAAATATTTATATCATGGTTGGGATTAAAAAAATATGACCTTCCATGAAAAGCTTTAAATTTTTTTAAAGGCCTTAATTTGAATTCTTGTTCTGAAGAGATTGAAATGATGGTTTAATTTAGCAGAAATTTTGATGCAAAGATTAGGCTCTAAAGTGCTAAAATTATGCTTTAGTTGGCTGAAATTTGATGAAGAGACTAGGCTCTGAAGTGTTGAGTTGAAGATGAATCATTTTTAAATGTCATCTTCAAAGGTTTGAATGTAAGCTTCTTTTTTTAACATTCCCTTAAGAAATGCTCACATTTTCTTGTATGGTAGATGATCCATCCATGTAAATTCCTTTCCTATAGTGTTTAGCTTCATCCATAGGAGGCGTATGATGTCAACCTTAGAGAATTCGAAGGTAATTCCATTTAGGATCCACATCTTCTATGAGGCAATTTTGCTTTCCTACATGGTGGATGGTTTATCCTATCAGAGGCTTTTCCCATGGTATTCAGCTTCATCTACGAGAGGCTCTTATGATGTCGCCATGGAGAATTTGGAGGTGGTCTCTTTTGGGATCCACCTCTTTTGCAAAGTGTTGATGCTTCTCTACATGATGGATGGTTTACCCATGTAGAGGCTTCTCCCATAGTGTTTAGCTTCATCCATGGGATGCTTATGATGTCACCTTGGAAAATTCGGAGGTGGTTCCTTTTAGGATCCACCTCTTCTACAAAGCGCTGATGTTTCTCTGCATGGTGGATGGTTCACCCATGCAAAGTTTTCTCTCTTGATGTTCAGCTTCATCCATAGGAGGCTTATGATGTTAACTTTGGAAATTTTGGAGGGGACCCATTTGGGATCCATCTCTACTCTGAGTTGTTTATGCTTCCTTCTATAGTGGTAGATGGTTCACCCATGTAGAGGCTTCTCCCATGGTATTCAGGTTAATTCATGGAAGACTTATGATATCAACCTTGGAAAATTTAGAGGTCATCCCTTTTGGGATATACCTCTTTTCCGAGGCACTTATGGTTCCCTACATGGTGGATAATTCATTCATGCAAAGACTTCTCCCATGGTGTTTAGCTTCATCCATGGAAGGCTTATAATGTCAATCTTGGAGAATTTGGAGATGGTCCCTTTTGGAATCTACTTCTTTTTCGATACACTCGTGCTTCCTTACATGATGGATGGTTTATCTATGCAGAGGTTTTCCCATGGTATACAGGTTCATCCATATGAGTCTCATGATGTCAACTTTGGAGAATTTGGAGGTGGTTCCTTTTGGAATTCACCTCCTCTCCGAAGCGCTTATGCTTCCATACATAGTGGATGGTTCATCCATATAGAAGCTTCTTCCATGGTGTTCAGCTTCATCCATGGGAGGCTTATTATGTCAACCTTGGAGAATTTGCAGATGGATGGTTCATCTATGTAGGGGATAACAAAAGCTCTTTGAAGATAAATAGATGTAACATAGCTGAAGTAGAATTAAAGCTTTTAAAGATAGGAAGCTTTAATGCAATTGATGCAATGGCATGATGAGCTCTCATGAATATAAATGTATTCATAATGCAACAACTCGTATAGTGAGGCATCTCATAGAATGATGAATGGATATCGAACTGGTGGCTCTCTCAAACTATCGGAGACTTGTAAGCTAGCCTCGAGTGGATGAAATCTTATAGCTGGGCTTGCCGATAGTGAGTGGCAAAGGATAAACATCTAGTAAGGCGGGGAATAAATATCTCATGTATGACTCTCAAACTATCAGAATCTTATAAAACAACCTCGAAATGACGAGATATTATAGCTAGACTTGACTATAGTGAGAGGTGAGAATAAATATCTCGTAAAGCCAGGAATAAGCATCAGGCAAGGCGGGGAATAAACATTTTTTTCTCTCAAACTATCAAAATCTTATAAAATAGCCTCAAAATGATGAGATCTTACAGCTAGGCTCGACGATATCGAGAGGTAAGGAATAAAAATCTCGCGAAACCAGGAAAAAACATCTGACGAGGTAGGAAATAAACGTCTCGCGTATAGGTCTCAAACTATCAGTGTTATAGTCTACCTTGAAATGATGAGGTCTTATAGCTCGGCTCGACGATAATAAGAAGTGAGGAAACATCCAGCAAATAGCTCTCAAACTATTGGATTCTTATGAACTAGACTTGGAATGACGAGGTCTTACACCTAGGCTTCATGATAGTAAGGTGAAAAATAAACATCTCGAGAAGCCTAGAATAAGCATTTGGCGAGGTGGGAAATAAACATCGACAAATAAACTATCTAACTATTTGAGTCTTATAAACTGGCCTCGAAATGATGAGGTGATACAGCTAGTCTCAACAATAGTGAGAGGCGATGAATAAGCATCTCACGTTGTCAGGTATAAACATCCGACTCATCAGGAAATAAACATCCTCCAAATAACTCTTGAACTATCGAATTCTTATGAATTCCTTTAAAATGACGAGATCTTGTAGCTAAGCTCCATGATAGTAAAAGATGATGAGTAAATATCTCGCGAAGCCAAGAATAAGTATCTGGCGAGATATGGAATAAATATCATGTGAATAGCTCTCTAACTATCAAAATCTTATAAATCAACCTTGGAATGACGAGGTCTTATAGCTAGGCTCGATGATAATGAAAGATAAGGAATAAATATCTTGTGAAGCTAGGAATAAGTATCTGGTGAGATGAGAAATAAACTTCTCGCGAATAGCTCTTAAACAATTGGAACCCTATACTTGGAATGAAGAGATCTTACATAGCGGAGATGCTGAAGCATAGGCAAT